GGTAACAATAAAGATCATCATTATCTCAAATCAGCACAAGTTTACCTGGTATAATTAATTAGGCAACCAGGAAAAATAAAAAGCAAACTAAATTTCATCTTAAAATTGTTCATGCATTAGTTTTGTTACAACACTTTTCTAGTAAAACATTATAGCTTAGACTCACCAAATATACACTGCTATAACTTACATTAAGAGTTTATATTGAAAAAAAATTATGGCATGTCCTTTAAGGAGATGAATAGGGTGGCTCAGCTCAAACTTGATAGATTGTTATGCTATATACAACTTCTCAAGGTCTTTGCGTTCATGGAATTCTAGTAGAGTGGTTTCCACTGAACTGGAATCCTTTGAGAAAGTCAGACAATAGTAAATAGCTATTAAAATTTAAAAGACACAACTTTTTTTTCATGACCAGAGTTATTATTTTTATGCAGCATAAAAGTGAGATATGCTCACTGTATAAAAATAAAGCAATTCAAAAAACTAAAAAGCAGTAATAAACATCTAAAAATCTCCCTAAGGGAAAACCATTGTTAACATATAAGTGAACACATTCCTGATGGTCTCTTCATAAATTTATGTTAGATATAGATATAGATAGATATATACTCACAAACAAACACACTATTTATAGGATCATAAAATGTATGCTGGCTTATAACCCGTATCTTTTTATTTATATATACATTTTGGTTATTTTTCCATAATGTTAATTCATCCTTTTCAAGTCGTCATTTTTACAGTTGCATTGCATGGATGTACAATAATTTATTTTTCCAAGCTCCTATTCATGGACATTTAGATTGTTTCCAAATTTGGCCATTAGAAACAATGTTGAGTTGAACATCCTTGAAGGATCTTTAGTCAGTTGTTGGTTTATCAGGAGATTTCTGATGAACGTGTTAGTTGGGCTTTATTCAACTTTACTAGCTTCAGCATCCCAGACTCCCTGTGTTGAGTTTGCTCACACCAGTAGTATTCGGTGCTCCGACTTCCCTATCAGGAGCCGGGGTCGTGTAAGCCTTGTGGCATTCTAGTTTAAAATGGAAATGGAGATTCTGACTAAAGGCTATGCTCTAAGAGTGCAAAGAAGGAAGGTGGTCCCAGACAATAGGACTGCCTCCACTCAAGTACTAAATTGGCAGCTAATAAGGCTGACTCCCAGTAATCTCTGTAGCTTTTACTTACCTCTCATTGGCAGCAGCCATCTGCCACCCACCAGTTGTTATTCCCTCTCCTCACCCAGACTCCTACTCTTGGCCTCTCCTTGCAGGATTCAAGCACTAAGGTGCCCCAGATCCCTGATAACAAATGGAAGTCCCCATAAATGCCTCCGAAAATGACAGTGAGGTTTTGGCTGGTCTCCCAAACCACGTCTAGCCTGAGTGAAGCTTAGGTGCAATAATACATTGTTCAGCTTTTCTCACAGAGTCTATGAGTTACCCAATTCTCTTAAACTCTCATTTATAAAGCATCGATCACTGTGCTGTTAATTTGTTTCATATTCAGCTGAAGGGAAGTCACACTTACTGGAAATACCTTGGGCCGAAAAGAACTGAGCGTGAACCCAGTTCTGCCACTTGATACCTCTGTGGCCTAGGGCAAGATATGAACCTTTCTGGTAATCCTCGGTTTGCTAATCTGAAAAATGGGATGATAGTATTATCTCAAAGTGTTGCTCAGAAGATTAAATAAGAAAACTCGTTTACTCCATACCTCTCCTAATGCCTCATAAGAGCTTTATTAACATTAACTCTTGTTGTTATTGATGATGAAGTCTTTATAAAACCCAAAGCAAACAAAACCTTCCTTCTGCTATTGAGAGTTGGTGTTGGGACTCAATGAAATAATATCTCTGGATGTGCCCAGCACTCAGGTGTTTAATAAAAGTCACTTCCTGTTTTGCTCTGACATCCCCCTGATGGCTTCAGTTATTTCCCTGCATAGAGTCTCCCTAATATAAAGTTCAAAACTATTAAAGAAATAGAAAAGCAGGAAATTTTTTCTTTTTTTTACCTAATATCCTGGCTACATTAAATTACATAAAACATCAAAGTGTAGGTATAACATTGGTGAACTGCTTATAACAAAAATGGAAAATCCACTTGGAGTCATAGAATTTATTAATTGGAAGGGAACTAAAGAGTTGTGTAGTCTAGGAAAATGGGGTCTAAAGAGATGGGCATAGTCTCAAGAGCTAATTGACCCCAAGACCTAGTTGGCAGCCAGGTAGACATTTTCCTAGAGATGATTTTATTAATCTAGTAGGCTCTATGATTGGGAATAGCTCCTCTTAGTCATTCAAGGGGAAAGCAAGGTTAAAAAAAATTCTTGTAAAAATAAAAACTAAAAATTTGGGCTGAATCACATAGATATTGGGCCATATATATTTCCTGTGCAGCCTTAGCACGCTGAAATCTTTTCTTCTTTTTCATGCAAAATTAAGGGCACTTTTGAAAAGAAGAAAAAGACCAAGTACTACATGCTTGTCATTGTAGTTTCCCTTGTTTTTCTCCTGTTAAGCTCAGAGATACACAGTGTGGAGCTGAGATGCCAGCTCTATTGTGGCTTTGCCAGTGACAAATTGCTTTGGTTTGTTTCATTCTTTCTTTGATTCAGTCAACAAATACTTAATGAGCATTTACTCTATGTCAGGCACAGTGAACAAAACATCCCGAATCTCGGGTTGCATACAGTCTAGTGAGAGGAGACAAATACTAAACAAGTAATCAAGAAAATATTTACTATATTAGCTTGTGATCAGAGCTATAGAAAACACTAAAAAAGGGCAAGGAGAAGTGGGCGGTTACTCTTTTATGTAGACTGGTGTGAGGAGAGACTCTGATTAGGAAACATTTGAGCAGAGAACTTAGGGAACTGAGAGGATGAGTCTTGAGGATATCTGTGGGAGAATATTCAGGCAGGAGAGTAGCATGTGCAAATGGCCTGAGGCAAGAGCTTGCTTGGCATGCTCAAGGAACAGAAGATGGTCAGTGTGACCAGAGCAGAGTGAGTAAGGGGGGAGTAAGCTTACAGGTAGCAGGGGTCCAGATGGTATAAGATCTTGTAGGCTTTTGTGAGAGCTTTGTCTTTACCATGAGTGAGAAGGGAAGCCACTGGAGTGTACTGAGTAGAGGAGTGACATGACCTGGCTTTGTTTTAAAGACAGCATTTACTCTACCCTATGTGGTAGAGACTGCTGGGTAGGCAAGGTACAAGCAGAGAGACATCAATGAATGCCCATTTGGTGGCACTTTCTCATTTAAGGTCACAACGACTGTACAGTCGCTGGTGTGATCCTCAGCGAGAACAGGGGCTCAGAGAAGTTGAACCACTGGCCCAAGAAACTGAGAGAAAAATGAAATCAGGATTCAAGTTCAGACCTGTGACCATAAAGGCAGAGTTCTTTCCTTCTACCCTATGCACAAATAGAAATGTGTGTCATCATCACTAAAGAGAACCATTTTTACGTTAGGAGTGTGAACGACACAAGAGTCTTGAGTCATTTAACTAAGTAAGACTCTAAAGAGGGAGTATGATTTTATTTCTCGCTGAATTTGAGTGCTCTGACACAGCTTATTTGTCATGCCATTTTTCCTATCTGTCCAGATTTCTTTTAGAAGTGGGTTTTCACATTTTGTGTTTTATTATGAACTACAACTAAATTCATTTGGATCACACTAATCTATCATCTTAAAGAGTTTCACAGATGGAGTAGAGTGCCTTTGGCTGTTTAAGGCATTTTCAAATCTCCATTTTTCCCTCTAACCTGTCATACAGATTCATAGATGCTAACAGCAAGCCGAGGCCCATTTATTTGTAGTGTCCTTGTGTTCTCATCTAAGGAACTAGCCGCATTAATGTCCTCTCAGATTGAATTCAGTCTGTCCATGTGTGCATGAACAAGGCACCGAGGAACTTTGCTATCCCTCCAAATGAATCCGTAAACAATTCACAACTGAAGAGGATGGGGATACTCCAGCTGAAAAACAGAAACAGCTTGTCGTGTTATTTCCCCAAGGTTTTCATTAGTTCCAAATGATGTGGGCTGTTTGGTATTATCTTGAGAATTTCTGTTGCTCAAGAGCACTAGATGATAACTCTTTTATAGTGCTATTAAGTGATTAGCTCTGTGATTTCTCTTTGTTTTCCTTACAAGTCACCTTGTTGAAATTTCTGGCAAAACAGTGAACACAGAGCAGCAGTCTGTCTGAGGAATGGCATTTGGAGGACTCAGTCCCCTTCAGAGCCACTGGGAGTCATATGGGGCTGTGACAGAGGCATGGGAGCAGTGGGGACATCAAGACTCAGCTTAAGTTTCCCCAGTTTAGTAGGACTAAGGAGTAACATTTGAGGTCAGACAAGATTAAAGTCATCACCAATGTTTGAGAAGAAAAAAATAGTTTTCAAAATCTCTTGAAAAGAATCTTGTTACAATTTTCTTCTTTTTTTTTTTAACTAGAGGGAAGGGAAAGACTGGGATGTAAAAAGAGAAGTCACAGTACAGACGTCTGCAGTCTCAGCAGAGACAAAGATGCACTACTGAATTTTATGACTTCAGAAATGTTTGTCGACTAGGACTAAGCAGGAAGCGCATCAAGGCCCAGATGATCTTATCTTTGCCACACTGACTTGAAGTAAAATTAGAGAAGAAATCAGTTTTTATGTCTACTTTTTTGATTGAAGGAGAAAAACTATAACGTATACTTAAACACACTATGTGAAATGAAATGAAATGATACAGTGAACATCAAATATAATCCCAGTGGGCACAAAACTAATTAGGAATCTAGTTAGTTAACATTCATCCGACCAGTGGAATGAGACTGGACAGTAGTTGTGAGTCCTGGATTTTAAACCCAGCTCCAACAAGGATTTACTGTGGGACGAAGGTGGTGTTTTGGGTATCATTTAAGTGCTCCATGCGCCTGTTAATTGGGGGATAAGAATGCTCTGTGTGGGTTTTCTTTCACTTAATTCCTTCTGTCTTTCTTAAGGTCCAGTTGAAAAGTGAAGAATCCAAAACGTTTGCCATGAAGATTCTCAAGAAATACCACATTGTGAATACAAGACAGCAGGAGCACATCCGCTCGGAGAAGCAGATCATGCAGGGGGCCCATTCCGACTTCATAGTGAGGTAAGGACCCTGCCCCGGGGCAGAAGGCTCCAGCTCCAAGCGGAATATCAACCACAAAACCCTCTGCCACTTGCACTCACCGTTACACATTTCATTCACACAAAGAAATGCATTCTTTTAATCTGATTTTTTAAAGTTCTGTTTGACTGAAAAAAAAATTTTTAAAAATGAAGTTTTGATTCTATCCTTTTTTTAAAGAATCAGATTCTGTGAAAAGAACATGTTTTTCCCAAAAGCGATATCAGAGTTTCTAACATTCCATTTTTATCCTCTCTGTCACTCCAAAACTGTACATAGACCTCTGATGCTTGAAAGACAAAATATCAAAAGTCATACTATTTTACCTTTAATTATTTGAAGACTTTTTGAAGATTTTAAAAAATGAAATGACTATTCCATCTCAGTATTTTGAGAGCACTAATAAGAGGATAATGGAAAGTTTTAATATGCAGAAGAAGCTTTTCTAGCTAATTTTCCAGTGGCACTTGCTGAAAACAGGGTGTAACATGAACTTAAGTGAGCAATGCGTGAATGTCATACATGTCTATATTTGTAAAGTGTAACCTACCTACCTCTCAGGCATATCCACACTCACTGCATGTTCATGACCACTAAATATTGCTCAAGCATCCACGCTTGAAACATCAGCCACATTGGAATTGAGGAATTCCCCAAAGCCCTGTTGGTCTATAATCATCGCATTAATCCATTTCAGAGGAAAGACTAGCCCCCTACGATGCGTAAGTCTTAGTCACGAGCCATTGCTTCCTTTTCCCTATTTGCAAACTTAGATTTCTCTCATTCTTTTAATAAAGTTTCAATCTTGGCAAATCAAGAATAAGACTGTAATCTGGGCACTCAAAACATTTACATGGCTTTAAAACACAATGATATTTAAGCCTTTGTTTTCTTGTTTGCAATTCACAGACTATACAGAACGTTTAAGGACAGCAAATATTTGTATATGTTGATGGAAGTTTGCCTGGGTGGAGAGCTCTGGACCATTCTCAGGGATAGGTAGGAGTTTAAAGAAATTTCTATCATGTCTTTAAAAATATAATTGACTATGATGATCTATTAGAAGCGTCGATTAAGTCTAAAAATCATACTTAAAGATTTTACTTATGCTTATATTTCAAAATGTAGCATAAATATGGGGCATAACCCACGAGTAGACACATATGATTTACTGTAAACATGAAACTCACTCTGTTTCAGATTTGTAAGTAATGATATACGTTTAGTCTACCATGAAAACAGTAGCGAGCAAGGTATATCTACAGGCCTTAGTTTAACTTGAATGTCAGAATCAGACAGCTATGTACCTAGAATTAAATTCATTGCTGTAACATGAAGAGAATTATAGTTATTTGATAGTTGAATTCTGGATTAACTATCAGTTTAATTGCTCCGTTCATTCTCCATTTGGCCAGTCTGCCTTTCCTAACACTGAGAATTTTTCCAAAGTAACTTTTTTCTCTACCTTTACATTGCTGTTTGGTTTCAAAATTAACGAAAGTTTCCAGCCTTTCAGCCCTTAGCTGGTCTTAGGAGAAAAATGAATCTACTTATAAGCAGTATTTCATGTAAACAATCTAATTTAGATTTATTTATTTTTGTTCTTTCAGGGAAAGTAAATTTGGTCTAGTTAGTGCTTATTTGTTTTTTAGCTGTGCAAAATTAATTTCCCATCTCCTATTTATGTGACAGCAAACTATCTTTCAAAAAAATTTATTCTATAAAATGTCTGGGAAGATCATTACCAACCCTAAATGTTTAATTTTAAAAAATGACTGTAATTTTCTTTCCCTGTGAATGATCTTTTGATAATTTCCTATAAACGATCCAATAGCATTCAAGTCATCCTTGTTCCTTTGAACACTCATCTTTAGACATTTCTTTTTTTCTTATTTGTTACAGTCTCACCCCTCAGACTCTCCTTGATTGAATAATATCTTTCTGAAACTCAGCTGTAGACAGCCCTGATGTTCCCAGAAAGCCAAGTTATGTTTTCACAATTTGTTACTTTGTAGATATTCCAGAAGAGAACAAGTGGTTCTTTTTAAGCTTTTGATTTAAAGTCTCATTCCCAACTGTCTTCTTACGGAACCTTCAGATATCTGTATCCGTTGCCCTTTCAAGTCTTTTATTCCCATTGCCTTACATGTAGATGTCAAACAGATTTCTTTTTGTCTTATTGTGTCCTATTACATTAATGTTTTGTTTTATTATATTATTTATTATATTATTGTTGGTTAATATTTGAGTACAGATTGTATGCCAGGCCTTGTGATAGAAGCTAGGCATACAATAAGAAATGGAACAGATGTGGTCCCACTCCCATAATTTGCAGGCTATTGCACAAAGTTAATATTCTGATTTGAGTTAATGTCTGGTTTATCCTAAAGTGATTCCACTATATTATTTTCGACCTGACCTTTCAGCCCACTGATTTATTTGAAATCCCTTTCTACTTTGTTCTAATTAGGATAGAAGATTCATAGGTGGAAGTAAACATTAAAGCAATAATAAGCTACCTAAGGAGAGGAACAGCTATTTTAAACTTCTATTAACTTCTTTAACCAGATAATAATAATAAAAATAAATAAAAATCATGATGATGATGAAAGTCATCCTTAATTCCACTCATGAGGAATCCAGCATGCATAGGCATCAATTTTCCACTTAATTTTTGAAAGAAAATGCAATTTCCTATTTCTCCCTATTTAACATGATTTTGCATTTTTTTGGTACATAAATATCAGCCAGAGCTTCTGAGTGAGATATATTTTGACTTGTCAGGACAGTGAAGGGTTGCTGTTAGGCAGTAGCTTACCTTGGAAGGAGTTGATGGAGCAAAGATATCAATGGATGGTTCTTTCTCTTTAATGTCTGGTTTATCCTTACATGATTCTACTATATTATTTTTGACCTGACCTTTCAATCCATTGATTTATTTGAAATCTCTTTCTACTTTATTCTAATTAGAATAGAAGATTTATAGGTGAAAGTAAACATTACTTCCACCAATTTGCTTTTTGTTACATTGAAGTATAATTGATATACAATATTATATTAGTTTTAGGTGTCCAACATAGTGATCCGATATTTTTACACATTACGAAATGATCGTCAGGTTAAGTCTAGTTACCATCTGTCACCATACCACGTTATTACAATATAATTGACTATATTCCATATGCTGTACCTTACATCCCATAACTCATTTATCTTATAACTGGAAGTTTTTACCTCTTGATCCCCTTCACCTATTTTGCCCACCCCTTACCCTACTCCCCTCTGGCAACCACCAGTTTCTTCTCTGAATCTATGAGTCTGTTTCTGTTTTCTGTTTGTTTGTTTTATTCTTTAGATTTCACATATAAGTGAAATCATACAGTATTTCTCTTTCTCTGACTTCTTTCACTTAACCACCAAACTGCTTTTTGATCCTTTCTCCTTTTTTGTCATCCTTGGGTTTGAGCTACACAGTTCTTGAGTCCCCCAATGCACTTAACACTCCATGAAGAGGCTTCACCTAGGGAAATAGCAGCTACGTGATCCTTCCTAAAGTTTCAGAGGGGCTGAAGCCTCTAGGTTAAAAGCAACGGAACTATCAATATATAAAATCACCTCAGAATCATTGTCCTCTGCCAACTTTCTTTCCTATATACGCATGTAGCCTTATTGCTTCTATTTCGAGAGATGTTTTTTTTTTTTCCTACCCAAGAAATTGCTGGGGGGAAAGTACCGTTTTGGATATCCAGGCTCCCATTAATATTGTCACTGACTAGCTTTCTCACTCTTTGTTTAAACTGGGGCTAAAAATCCTAAAGGTTAATTGTCAGAAAGAAACAAAAAATGCCAAGAGAAAAAAGAAAGTAATTGTGCTGTTAGTCACAGTATATGAAAATACCCACAGTCGGAAAAAACCATACTGCTCAATTTCTTCAGTTTTCCTCTTGTGTCCCAGGAAAGAAGCAGTAAGGGAGAAGCTAGTTTGAAAGCATAAAGGAAATGTATTCGGGTTGATTTGAAGAAAGACGGTGTGACCTTATTCTTTACTGACATGGTGATACCTCTGAGCTTCAGGGATTTGGCCCAGGAAGTCTGTCTTTCCCTTACCTGCACCTGAGAGGAGCACTTCCTGCCTGTCTCTTTCTTCCCATCAGCACAGAAAAGGAACACAGAACAGCTCTTTATTGTCAAGAAGAATTAAAATGATACCTGTATAAAAACAGAATTTGAAGACTATTAAATATTTTCTTATCTTTGAGAGATGAACTATAGCACTGAAATGTTAATTGTTGCAATTATTTCCTTGGTTTATACTTTATTAGCTATCATGTTTTATCTTCTAGTTTGTGACTTTTTGTTTTCCACAAATTCTGTTCCATTATTTGGAATAGGTTAGTACAAACTATATTTTATATACTTTTTCTCCATAACGCTTAAAGAATTGGCAACTGCTGCAACTTTCTTAAAAATATAAGTGGCTAATATGATAAAAATATAATATATACATAAGTATTTATATTAGTATATATTATAATACATAACATTAGCATTTATGTATTATATATTATTAGGATTTAATACATATTCTAGTCTAATGAAATTTAACATTTTAACTATTACTTGATTTGGATTTTTTAATGTGTATGTTAATTTTTCCTATTGAATATCTTAAATAATTACCTCAGAAACCATAATTTTCAAATCACACACATCTCACTTCTGGTCACGTGTCTTCCTGGAAGTGTTTTATAAGCCAGCGAGTGACTTTCTATGTCCATTCTTCTTGTTTCTAGCTATTTTGTAGAGGGTACTTATTTAAATTCCATCTTAGATGACCTAGTAGATGGTACAAATTGAAAGCATTTCAAGGAAATGAGTCTTTGTTCGTAATAATTTAGCCCGCCTAACTCTGCAATTGGCAATAAACCAGCATAGGTTGCAGCATGTGTCAGGTTTATACGCTCACTAATGATTGCTGTTACTAGTTAACGCAAAGAGGGAGCCTATCTTTCTGTGAAGGATGCTTTGTCTTTGTTACCTTCTGCCATTTCACAACTCAGTTTATGAAAGTTGATTAAACACTGGTTAAATTTTAATTTGAGTCTATCAATAAGTATACATAACTCTCTAATTCTCTCAATCAGATTGTTGTCTACTACCATCTAGCTAAAACAACTACCCATTCCCAAAAAAGAGCATAAAGTCCTATCCCTTACTTGCTTTAATTGAAATGACAAAACTGTCAAGGCATAATTTGTTATTTCGAAGAATTATATAGGGCAGTGATTTATTTCTTTAAGCAACTTTCTAACTGTTGATAAAACAAGCTTTCATTTTTGTTTTAGATCAAATTTGTACTGTCATTTCCAATTCTAATAGTAATTTTTCATTTTGAGTCACCCTAATGCTACGCTTTGTGACTGCTTTCTAAAAGTATATTTTAAAATCCACAAATTACCTACATCAAATGTTTAGTGATGAAACTGTGTTGCTGGTAAACATTTTGTGTTCGTATATTGTGTTGATTTGTCACATAACATGGAAACAGATTTGAGACAAGGTTTTCATTTAATTTTTCAAATCGGTTACAAATATATTCATATTTGGGAGATTCTAATATAGATCTGTTGAAGGGCTGGAAATCAGCTTTCTAGAACCCTCCATAGTCTGAAATGGCTCAGGACCAGAGAAACATTGAAACAAATAAACAGAGCTGTCAGGAACTGAAGACCAAAAGATGTATGATTTGTGGGCAGTTCACTTCATGACAAAAAAAAAAATGAGTTTTGGTTAGCAGGCAATAAAATGGTAATTTTTGCCCATACATTTGTGAGAAGCATGGAGAAAGTGAGAAGAACAGAGATTAGCAGAAAACACTTCAGAGCTGACTCACAGCAGCCAGCCTTGGCACTGAGAAGCAGCAAATACTTCAATAACACTGATGGTGTCACAGACTCCCCACTCCCATCCCCAAAAGACTTGAGACCTGTCCTCTGTCAGTCAGTTTTGCTAGATGAAGACACAGTGGCTAAAGAAGAGTGTTTGGTGCTCAGTTATAATGGCTACTATTTACTGAGTACCAGTTGTGTGCCAGGCACTTATTCCAAATGCATGTATCAGTTGTTTGTATCCTCACAACAACCCAATGAGATAGTTTCTATTATTAGCCTCATTTTGCAGTGACAACACTGAGACCCAGAGAAGTATGATTAGTTGCTCAAGATTAAACAGTAAGTGAGCCCAGATTTGAGCCCAGGATTCTTGCTCCAGAGTCCACACTCCTAACCTAGAGCCTCCTCTAATGAATTTGAGTTTATTTTAGGATTTTTTTCATCTTCCTGCTAATGATCAGCTTTTTCAGAATATAATTATGAACACCACTCAGCAGAAATTTCATGAGAGATTGATCTCTCATAGAAGTGTCTAACCTCCTTGCAACAGTCACAATGTATTTGTCCGTTTAGTTCCGTTAACAACTGACTATTAGGGGAAACAGAGATACGTTGCCCAGAGTCACAACTGCAGAAATAATCTCTTCTTCTAACAGTAATCAAGAATTTGTAGGCTTTCAAAAAGGTCCACCCAAATCACAATTAGACAGTCCTGATACGAGGAAGTAATCAATTTTCTTATTAAAACAAGACATGTAATATGAAATAAAACAAGGCTCTATTCCATAAAGTATTTTGTTTTGTTTTGTTGGGCTTTGTAATGCTCTCCACTCAGGAAGGATCGAAGTCATATATAGCACTCAGTGTAGTGAAATCTGTGTGTTAATTATCTATACACTGTTGCTTACTATTTAAGACAATCTCTCCAATTGAAAGAAATATACTGTTCTTGATAGACAAACATAATTAAAGGCAGAGAAGAAAGGATCTTTAAGATACTACTCTAATCCCTTTCCCAATACACGAGATTATATAGACTTAGCTGTGCAAAGATAGCTCCAAGTCAGAAGAGCATTGCAGCATAAGGTCTATCAGACATTTCCCAATATAGAAGTAATTCTCAGAAAATCTTTCTTGTCCTTGTAAATTCACAATTGTTCCATTCAGATATTGTTGAAGAGACATACTAGAATCCTAGTAATTACAGTTAAGATTCTAGTATCTAGAGGAGTAGGTCTCATCATGCCTTGAATTGTATTTCAAAAGAAAGATTTCTTTGGGGAAGAGCTAATTATTTCAGTGACAACTCAGGGGGCATTAGTAGTTGAAATGAAGACAACACCTTTCTAGAAGACACTGTATATTTCTGAAAAGGTGGCTGCTTTAGCCTTGGATGCTCTGATTAATTTTGTAAGATAGCAGCCATATTCCATTTTCTGGTTTGTTAGACTTTTTGCAAAAGAAGCAAGAGTCATCAAAATGTAAACTAGCACCAGCAACTCTCATGAAAGCAAGTTGCGAGGGGACCCTTTGTTGTCAACCACCTAAAACTGCCTAGGTGCTTTCTCTCATGCTGTGTCTTAGCTGCCTCAAAAGCCTACGTTCACATGAGCGTTCTTGAATTATCGTGAAATGATTAAACTGTGTTTACTACTTGGGAAAGAGGAAATAAATGTAGTTTATCTTTTAAAGGAATTCCATTAAAAAAATCAATTAAAGTGTAAAGGTTCTGCCCTAGAACCAAGGAGTTAACCTTAGATGCCAAGGTTTTCTTTTACTGTTATTTCATTAAATAAATACACACACGCACACACGTGGATAGACAGAGAGAGCTTTCTTGCTTAAAATCATAAGCAAGTTTACTAGTAAACATTCCTGTCCAATTACCTTTTTCCTTCTAATTATCTTTTAGCTCCACCTTTTCTTTCTAATGAGAAGGTTGAACTATAGGAAACACGTTTTGTTTGTCTTGCTGACGGAAGTTTCAAAGAGAAGAACACTTAGCTTATGGTATGATTGTATCAGAAGCATCACAGCTCATTTCCAAAGTGGTTCTTTGAAAACATTAACTTTTATTTGCATTCTCATGTCTATATTATTTAGAAAGATTCAAAAACAAGCCCACTAAGAATAAATGTGACTAAACTCATAAATTCTCCTTTAAAAAAGACCCTTGGTAGACAAGCTGTAAAATAGCATTTGTCTCTCTCCTGCCCACTGCTGGAGCTGTGCCTTTTCAGATTGCAGTGGACCATTGGAAGGAATTCACCAAGTACACGAAATGTGGTATTTGGTTGAACTCTCTTCACGGTTTTCAGGAAGTTAGATTTCACTATCCCATTCATAAAGGCAAAGAATTCCTTGACTTAATCTTGAAATGCTTTTGGAAATGCAATGCAGTGACAATCACATGACGTTTGGCCAGTAGGACATTCATCTCTGAGGTCAATATAGTAACACAGGAATATAGTGAAATGAGAAATAAAACCTTATTAGAGAAACTAATTTCTTGTATACTTTTCATTCCATTTTCTGTATCGCAGAGGTTCATTTGAAGATTCTACAACCAGATTTTACACGGCATGTGTGGTAGAAGCGTTTGCCTATCTGCATTCCAAAGGAATCATTTACAGGGACCTCAAGCCAGAAAATCTCATCCTAGATCACCGAGGTTACACCAAACTGGTCAGTGTGTTTCACACTTGGTGTCTGCCCTGCAGTTTTAAAATATTGGTTTATATGTTCATTTGTTAATACTGAAATCTCAGTTCTTATTTTTAGATTTTATGACTTTTCTTAAAAGTGGGTTTTAGCGTCACTATTTTCGATGAACTATTCTTTCCAGTTATGAGAAATTATATTGGCCAGTTTTGAATTAACATCCTGGCTGAATATGCTGAAGTGGGCTCGTGCTAGATGGCAGGTGTTCATAGACCTAGAACAGCTTCATAGAAATCCTTCTTCTGTCTGGCTTCCTGTCATCCAAAGGGAATAGGTATTTATATTACATAAAACCATGACTCATTTTGCTATTTTAGATTTAAGGATAATGCTAATGGGAAAAAATGAGGTTTGCAGGCAATATTATCCAAGCCATGTTAATAATATTAAAATTGGTCAAGAGCTCTAAAGATTTACTTTTGAAAGGAAGTTCTCTCTTTTTTTTTTTTTTTTTTTGAGGAAGATTAGCCCTGAGCTAACTACTGCCAGTCCTCCTCCTTTTGCTGAGGAAGCCTGGCCCTGAGCTAACATCCATGCCCATCTTCCTCTACTTTTTCTATATGCTGGACGCCCATGACAGCATGGTGTGCCAAGCGGTGCCATGTCCGCACCCAGGATGTGAACCGGTGAACCCAGGGCCGCCGAGAAGTGGAACGTGCAAACTTAACTGCTGTGCCACCGGGCCGGCCCCAAAGTTCTCTTATTGTTAATTGCACAACTTTTGTGGGCTTTGGATCTATCGGTGCCTGATTCTATATTTTATACTTTTGGAATTTTTATTCAGTATATGGTTTTCAAAGAAATCAAATTAATGGCGCTTAATTATTTGTACTCTCAATCAAATTGTTTTAGAAAAAAATTAAATTTCCTGCATTTGAGGCTGCTCCTCAAAGGTTTCTAGAAAAATGAAGGATATATTGCCATTTTATTTCTGTTTCTCTTTACCAAGGGCAGAGTCATTGGCCCAATAACTTTATTACTCAGCTCTTTTGACAGTAAAGTGTCTTCTCAATTAATACTAAATGAATTGTCAACTTCATTAAATCCAACAGGAATCATGTATATGCTGGAAAATATGTCAAGTAGGTCCAACTGGTCTTGTAAAAATTTTGAGTAAAGGAGAAATTATTTGTTTATGCCCCAATCTCTGTTGGCATAAAACGAGGAAAAATGGAAAGTATTTCCAGAAAGAAAGATTTTCCTATATTTTTAATGATGTGAATTTTATCCTATACTCAGGTTTCAATTTTTCCCATTGACACTGAGTTTGATCAGGGAGGCCTTGTTTGTTTGAAATATAAACGACTCTTTTTAGAAGACAGAACTATAATAACCTGCAGCTGTTTTTATTTTATTTTATTATTATTATCATCAGTACACTTCAGCAAAGTAACTTCTTGCTTTTAAACTTAATTATAAGTGGCTTGAATATTTTGTTTTTCTCTTTTGTAAGGTTGATTTTGGCTTTGCAAAGAAAATAGGATTTGGAAAGAAAACATGGACTTTTTGTGGGACTCCAGAGTATGTAGCCCCAGAGATCATCCTGAACAAAGGCCATGACATTTCAGCCGACTATTGGTCACTGGGAATCCTAATGTATGAACTTCTGACTGGCAGGTATGGACATTGATAGAGAACTGCCGGTAAAAATAGACCAGCAAACAGCCACACACTCCTGCCTTTGTCACTCTGATTAGACCATCTTAAACTCATTTCACCATACCTTGTGAATTAACTTCAATTAGTTATGCAAATGGCCAAGGATTCATAAAGCAAAGTCTAAAATGAGTCAGATGAGGGCAACAAACCCAATATCAACTTTGGTCTCGTTGCTAATTCTTTATACATATGAGACTGTGGAATGATCCAGTCTCTTTCTATGAGATCTTTGAGCCTACTCATTTAGCCAGCAATGAAGTAAGGGAGATGATAGTCATATAAAAATATCTAGAGTCAGCTATTCATATAAATAAGAGAGTCTGTTGGCAATTATTATATCTAAATGAAATGTAAATGCTTTGCAGGTCTTTTGTGTAGTAATATTATAGGTATCAACAACGTAAAAAGGTACTATGGATACTGCCAGGTATAAGACTGACTGTAAGCTCTTCAAGGAAAAGAACAAATATACTACCATGCCATGCACTAAGAACAATGAGTAACAGGGTCAATATGAACTAAAGAGTTCAGAGGAGGGCTGGGCTTGTCCAGGGAGGCTTTTGAAGAAGGTGAGACTGCAGCTGGGCCTTAAAGGAAAAGGACTTAGACATAGAGAGCAAGGAAAAGGGTATTCCAGGCAGAGACATGGCTTAACTAGAGGGGCAGTAGTGGGCGAAGATATGGAGAAGGTTCATCTAAAAAATAATGAGAGATCAATGATCTGTCTTTTGAGAATCATGATTGCCACACTTGAGTGTTTGGACTTCATCCAGAAAAGGAATCATTGAGTATTTTCTGACAAAGGAGTGACATGTGTCGTAGAATTTAAGGAAAAACAAGCTGTCAGTAATGTGTAGGGCAAATTGGAAGAGTGATGAGAAGGCTAGTTTGAAGATCATTCCACTAATTCAGATCTAGGAAGATGAGAGCTTAGAATAGGGTAGGGGCAGTAGAAAGAAAGTACTAAGCCTGAGGCAGGATGTGAAAGAATTACTTAAGAGAAGTTAGCAGCTGCAATGAAAATGAGAAGACAACTTGGGATGTTGGCATCAGGGTTCTTTGTGAGGATTCAGTGAATATATGAAGCACTCCAAAATGCTAACAGCTACTACTTACCACTACCATTGCCAGGAATAGTTATGCTGTAGTTTGTATTTTATTTGTGGATATTTTACATTATTACTCTAGAAACTTCTATGTTTACTTCAAATAAATTATCTGCGAACTAACTCAATATTCTCCTTCTGAATGGAGGTAAATTGTTTTAAATATATGACAAATTAAGTAGATATATAAGAATATGAATGATATGGACATAGTGAAGGTTAAATTTAACGTATATGCATGTGTATGGATGGATGGATAGTTAGATAGATAACCTTTCTGGTGTTCCCAGAATTACTAAAAAAACCAATCATACAATGAATAGAAGAAAACTTAATATTAACTATTAACTGGAGAATTAAAATACTAAACATTGGTAACTAGACTAAAATGTTAACCACGGCAGTTTCTATTTCTCCTTATGCATTTAAAACTTTTTCTGCAATCATTATTTATTCCTTGAGTAATAAGGAAAAAAATTAAAACCTTATCCTTGAAAATTGGCATATATTAAACTGTAAAGAAATTCTTAGTAACAGAAAATCCTTAATCCTTTAAAATAGAAATTTCATAGGCTACAATATCTGACTGTAATATAGTGAAATTAGAAATTAATAAAAGATTTAAAAGAAAAAGCCTAACCACTTGAAAATTTAAAAAACAAAATTAAAAAAAAAATAATCCTAGGGTCATAGAAGTTATGGAATAGCCGAACAGTAATAAAAATAAAGCAATATAAATCACAATTTGTATGGTATGGACAAAGCTGAACTCCATTTACTACCACAAATACTTACATCATAAAAAATACTTATTATGATTAAAAGTAAATGAGCTTAAGGGGTTGCAGTTAAAGATGGTGAATAAGAGAATCCTGAACTCACCTCCTCCCACAAACACATCAAATCTACAGCCACATATGGAACAACTTCCTCTGAAACAAACCTCAAAACTAGCTAAGCAACTCCTACTCATCAGGCCAATGAGAGAAGGCCCACATCTGAGCAGATAGGGGAGGCTGGGACACAATCTCACCATAAATCCCACCCCTAGTGCAGCAACCCACAATCTGAAGGGAACTGAAAACCCAGAGCTTCTCCCTGAGGAGTGAAGGGTTCGAACCCCACATTGGGCAGCCCCCAACTTTTAAGGCCTGCACCTGAGAGACAAGCCTCCTAAACACCTAGCTTTGAAAACCAACAGGGCTCACATTCCCAAGACCCACAAGCTGTGGTGATCTGAGAAACAGCTCTTAAAGGGCGCATGTGCTCAGACTCACCCACCCCAGGGCCCAGCATGGAAGTGGCTGATCCAGGGGCAACCAGACTTTGTGTGGGAGGAGGGGCTCATTTGCTTGTCTTAAAGCATCAGCCTGAAGGGCAGCCAACAGATCTGACACATATTTTGGAGCCTTCCGGAGTGCCACCTTTGTGCTCTCCTTCCATCTTACTCCAGCCAGTAGACATAGTTTTTTTTTTTTTAACTCTAGAGTTGTTTTCCTTTCTATTTTTTTTTCTTTTTCTTGCCTGGCGGGCACCATCTGTATGCTCTCCCTCTGCCTCGCACCAGAGTGCCGGTATCTCTTGGAGGAGAGCTTTTACATGTGTCTGGTGTCCCAGTTTTTGTGGCTGCTACCAGGGAACACCTCTATATCACCTGGTGCAGTTGGCCAGTGGGGCTTATACTGGTGGATCCCACAGGACTGTAACCAACGGAGGAAGAGTTCTTAAATGGCTACCACTTCCACAAAACAGCAAAAGGGAAAAGACCCAGTAGCTCGGTCTTTCTGTGAAAGAGGCCTGTTAGGTTATCATCATAGCAGCAACCCAACGGGCAGGCTTCTAATTAAACACACATCTAAGGACTGACTGTAATCCTTCCAGAGACCTCAGAGTGTGGGCGCAGTCTTTGCTCTTCCTCTGCCATGCTCTAGTGTAGCAGTATCTCCCAGAGGGGAGCATTACATGCATCTGGTGCAGCTGCTGCCAAGGAGATATTCCTTGATCATCTGTCTCTGGTGGCTTTGGGGGCTTTTGTTGTTAGGTCCCATGGGACTGTAACAGTTGAAGAGATAGTTCTTAGCAGGCTACCACTCCCAGGGCACTGCACAGACAGCAGACGGAAACACACTGCAGTCTTTCTATGAAAGAAGCCTATTTGCTTGTCCTGGAGCTTCGGCCTGAGGGGCAGGCTTCAGGTTTGGCACACATCTAGGGGCCTACAGGCATGCTCTCAGGGAGTGTAGGCCAGTGCATGTGATCTTTGCCCTCTCCCTCTCTCACTACAGCTAGCCAGTATCTCCCAGATAGGAGCTTAGACATTTGTCTGGAGCCCCAATTTTTGCACTGCTGCTCAGGGGCACCTTTATATTGACTGGCATTGGTGGCCCACAGGGCTTACACTTGTGTTCCCATTGGGCTGTATATATCTGCATACTTTAAAAGCTGCTGCCTGAGAGTCTGACTTCCAATCAGCCTGCATCTAGGTGTTAACTGAGATCCTCCCCTTTGGGATGCTGACAGATCTTGGCACACCCTTAGCTACTGGAAGCTATTAAAAATAAAATAGCCTGCTTGGACACTTACAAAGGTTTGAGAGACAACCAGGAGCTAGGGCAGGGTTAAACAATAAGGTTCATCTCCTACATGAGGCCAGTCCTTCAAGACAGAAAGGTGGCTATTCTATCTAATGCATAGAAACCAACAGAGAGCCAAGTAAAATGAAGAAATAGAGGAATATGTTCCAAATGAAAGAACAAGATAAAATCTTAGGAAAATACCTTAATGAAACAGAGAAAAATAATTATACCTAATAAAGAGTTCAGAACAATGGTCATAAAGATGTTTGCCAAACATGGGAGAAGAATCGATGAAGACAGTGAGAACCTCAATAAAAAGATAGAAAACATAAGAAAGTACCAAAGAGAAGTCATAGAGCTGAAGAATACAAAGACTGAACTGGAAAATACCCTATAGGGGTTCAACAGCAGACTAGAAGAAACAGAAGAAAGAATCAGTGATCTCAAAGACAGGGCTGTGGAACTCATCCAATCAGAGCAGCAAAAAGAAAAAAAAGAATGAAAAAAAGGGAAGATAGCTTAAGGGACTTATGGGACAATATCAAGCAGACTAACCTACACATCATAGGGGTCCCAGAAGGAGAAGAGAGAGAAAGGGGCAGAAAACTTATTTGAAGAAAAAATGGTTGAAAACTTCCCTAGTCTAGGGAAGGCAACAGACTTCCAGATCCAAGGAAGCCCAGAGCTCCAAATGAGGAATCCGAAGAGACTCACACTAAGACACATTATAATTAAAACGTCAAAAGTTAAAGGCAAGGAAAGAATCTTAAAAGCAGCAAGAAAAAAACAATTTGTTATATAAAAGGGAACCCCCTCCCCATAAGGCTATCAGCATTTTTTTCAGCAGAAAATGTGCAGGCCAGATGGTAGTGATATGATATATTCAAAATGGTGAAAGAAAAAATTGCTAACCAAGAATACTCTACCTGGCAAAGTTATCATTCAGAATTGAAGGAGAAAGAAAGAATTTTCCAGACAACCAAAAGTTAAAGGTGTTCATCACCACTAAACCATCCTTACAAGAAATATTAAAGGGACTTGTTTAAGCTGAAAAGAAAGGGTACTAATTAGTAACAAGAAAACATATGAAAGTATAAATCCCACTGGTAAAGGGAAATGTATAGTAAAAACAGTACTTTAATTACTTGTAAAGCTAGGATGAAGGTTAAAAGACAAAAGTAGTAAAAATAACTTTGACTACAATAATTAGTTAAGGGATATACAAGATCAAAAGATATAAAATGTGACGTGAAAAACATAAAATGTAGGGAGATGGCGAATAAAACATGTAGAGCTTCAGAATGCACTCAAACTTAAGTTATCAGCTTTAAATAAACTGTTACAGGGGCCAGCCTGGTGGTTTAGTGGTTAACTTTGCCCATTCTGGTTTGGTGGCCTGAGGTTTGCAGTTTCAGATCCTGGGTGTGGATCTAGCACTGCTCGTCAAGCCACACTGGGGTGGCATCCCACATAAAGTAGAAGAAGATTGGCATAGATGTTACCTCAGGGCCAGTCTTCCTCACAAATAAATAAACTGTTACAAATGTAAGTTGTTTTATGTAAACCTCATGATAACCACAAAGCAAAAACCTATAGTAGATATAGAAAAGATAAAGAAAAAGGCATCTAAGCATACCACTAAAACCACAAAAGAAGAGAAAAAGAAAAGAAGAAAGGAGTAGAGAGGAACTACAAAACAGGAGACAATTAACAAAATGGCAATAAGTACATAACTATCAATAATTAATTTAATTGTAAATGGCTAAATTATCAATCAAAAGACATAGAGTGGCTGAATAGACAAAAAAAAAAACAACAAAAAAGCAAGACCCATCAATATGCTGCCCTACAAGAGACTCACTTCAGCTATAAGGACACACAGAAACTGAAAGTGAAGAAATGGACAAAGATATTCCATGAAAATGGAAATCAGAAGAAAGCTGAAGTAGCCATACTTATATAAGAAAAAATAGACTTTAAGACAAAGGCTATAATAAGAGACAATGAAAGTCATTACATAGTGATAAAGGGGTCAATCCAACATGAGAATATAACATTTATAAATAAGTATGTGCCCAACATAGGAGCACCTAAATATATATATAAATCAAATATTAACAGACCTAAAGAGAGAAATGTATAGCAATACAATAATAGTAGGTCAATTTAATACCTCATTTACATCAATGGATAGATCATTCAGACAGAAGATTAATAAGGAAACATCAGCCTTAAATGACACATTAGACCAAATGACACATTAGGCACAGATGAACTTAACAGATATATACAGAACATTCTATTCAAAAGCAACAGAATACGCATTCTTCTCAAGTGCACATGGCACATTCTCCAGAATAGATCACATGTTAGGCCACAAACAAGTCTTAATAAATTTAAGAAGATTTAAGTCATATCAAGCAGTTTTTCCAACCACAGTGGTTTAAAATTGAAATCAATTACAGGAAGAAAACTGGAAGATTCACAAATACTTGGAGATTAAACAACATGGTACTGAACAACCAATGGGTCAAATAAGAAAAAAAGGAAAATCAAAAAATACCTTGAGACAAATGAAAATGGAAATTTAACATACTGAAACTTATGGGATGCAGCAACACCACTTCTAAGAGGGAAGTTCATAATGATAAATGCCTACATCAAGAAACAAGAACTATCTCAAATACACAACCTAGCTTCACACCTCAAGGAACTAGAAGGGCAAACCAGGCCCAAAGTTAGCAGAAGGAAGGAAATAACAAAGATGAGAGTGCAAATAAATGAAATAGAAACTAAAAAGACAACAGAAAAGATCAATGAAACTAAGAGCTGGTTCTTTGAAAAGGTAAACAAATACAAACCTTTAGCTAGATTCACCAAGAAAAAGAAAAAGAGGAGTCAAGTACATAAAACCAGAAATGAAAGAGCAGACCTTACAACTGATACCACAGAAATACAAAGGATTATAAGAGACTACTATGAACAATTATATGTCAACAAATTGGAAAATCTAGAAGAAATGGATGAAATTCTAGAAACATGCAATCTATTGATACTGAATCATGAAGGAATAAAAAACCTGAACAGACCAATTACTAGTAAAGAGATGAAACCAGTAATCAAAAACCTCCCAACAAACAAAAGTCCAGGACCAGATGACTTCACTGGCGAATTCTACCACAATGTTGGCCAATAAAGTGAAAGGGAGCAAAAAGAAAAGGGAGAGCAGCAGTGATTGCAAGATTTCAGAGAACGTGGTAGGGCTTTTTGAATACCAAAAGTTAAGGGCAAATGAAATGAATGATCTGGTGAGAGATTTTCTAAGACAAGAAATCCTAGTGAAGGATGCTGAATTTTCCACTTGCCTCCTTTCTTTCAACCTTCCTTATTCTGTTCTTCAGGCTAGCTAGTCCCATTTGAGGATAAGTAGTAATCAGAAATGGCTCAATAAGACCCATTTCTTACCCCAGACCCCTTCTACATATACAAATTCCTTTCTTACTTACTGGTTTTGTTCAAGACTCCATAGGCCCCTACTTGACTCAGGAAAAGATGAACTCATCTCCAGATTCAGGTTTAAACTCAATTCACCTATTCCAGTTACACGACATTCCCCTGGTGATTGCCATTGATTGGATTGGGCACGCAATTTAAACTGGTCCAAGACAATTTAAGGAAGAATTTTAATATATATTTGTGGAAGAGAATTCTCAGTGCCTGTAGTAGGCACTCAATAAACAGTTATTGAATGTATATAAGTCCCTATTTGCACTGGTAGTCATCTTTCAACTATAAGGGGAAATAGCCTTAGGATGAAGCCAACGCTGACTATGGTAGAACAAAACCTGGAAAGAACCTGTGTCATTGAGCCACTGATCCTACCAGATCTAGAGTTTGCCCTACCTCTGGACTGCCAATTATGCGAGATAAATGTCCTTATGGTTTTAATCAGTTTGAGTTGGTGTTTTCTGTTCATTTCAGCTGAAAAATGCATGAGTAAAAGGCAACTAAATAACACACAAGAGAAATAAATCAAAGAAACGGGAAGAGTTCAGAAAAATTATCTACAGTTTCTTTGAGACTATTAAAAGCATGAGCTCTTTAAAAAGTAAACTTAGAGATATCTGCAAGTGTTTGTAGATGATAAGAGAAGTAAACTAGCAGAGCTCAGGAATACCACAGAGCTGAAAGTTATATTATAAGCCACAGAAAATAGAATAATAGCAATTAAAAACCCAGCCAAGGAAATAGTAGACAGATTTGAGAAAAATAATAGAAAAGAAAAAAGGATATAGAAATTATTACAGAAAGAGGATATAGAAGTCAAGGGAAATAGAAAAAAGCAATCAAGTATATGAACAGAATATTCATCCCATATACATATTAGGCTACATAATACAAAATTCATGGCATAAAGACGTGACTCAGTGTATCCTTTTGATCAGTAGTGACTGCAGGGAAACAGATTCAGACTAACACCACCCCATTTGTCCTAGTACAATTTCCTAACTTCAATGATAAGGAATAATCATATAAGGATCTAAGCCACAAAAGCTTGGATATAGTGTTAGGAATGAGGAGGATTGGAGTTCGAGTTGGCCTCAGCCTTCTCCATAGTACCTTTAATGCCGAAAGGTAATATATCAAGAACTACATAGTTCTGAGGGAGACAGAGACTAGAGCCCAAACAATTTATACCAGGTAAGTTATTCTTAAAATACAAAGACAACATATAAAGTGTGCACAGCAGTTCTAACACTACTGTATGAACAAGTCAATGAAGGGATGAATCAAAATAAAGCCCAAAGGAGTAAAGAAACTGGTCAAAGAATTAGTGATGAGCTTTAAATCTGATTAAGTAGAATTTAAATTAAATAATTTCACTTTGTTTATTGAACACATTGTAAATGTTATAATCTTTGGCAATCTTTAAACAATACTAAAACCAACAAAAGTTAAGGTGGGAGGGAGAAGGTAGGAATAACTATTAATATTTATTTCTCATCATTCGCAACAAGGAATCTTTAGTATGTTTTACAGTTGAAGTACATCATTAAAAAATGAAAATTCAAGGTTTTTAAGAATTTTTCTTAATTTAAGAGAAATCCTTCAGGAGTTAATGTTGGTGAAGAAGCACATTCTTTGAAATTTAGCATTTCTTTCAGTTGAACTCCTCATGTCAACTTAAAGTAAAATGAAATTGAATATTTTTATTTTAAAAAACATGTATAGTATAATCCTGTGTCTGTCCATCTTCATAGAGAAATGTGTGAAATTACATTTATCAAAATGTGAATTATTAATATTTTGGGTGTTGGATGACTTTTACTTTCTTCTAATTTCATAAGTTTTATATATTGCATGACCGTCATGGACTGAATATGCATCACTTGTAAAAAACCACAAAAGTCATTTTTAACAAATGATTTTTGTTGTCTTTCTAAACTAAAAGGAAGTGAGGGGAACAGCAGACAAACTTGACCCATTTATGGTTTTGCTAAGAGATTTACTTGGAAAACTTTCCATGCCATTTTGCTTTTAATCAAGTTTTATTCCATTGTGACTACTAATATAAGCCCCAAAATAAGAATTGATGTCATCTGTGGCATTCTAACAATTGAAGTTTTCTTATTTAGAAAATAAAAGTAATATCTCCTTTCACGTCTCTCATCCTTACAGCCCGCCTTTCTCAGGCCCAGATCCTATGAAGACCTATAACATCATACTGAGGGGGATTGATATGATAGAGTTTCCAAAGAAGATTGCCAAAAATGCTGCTAATTTAATTAAAAAACTATGCAGGTGAGCATTTCAACCACATTATTTTTGAAAGGATTATAATGTGAAAAACATTAGATTCCTTATCAATTATTATTTTATTTTCAGGGACAACCCGTCAGAAAGATTAGGGAATTTGAAAAATGGAGTGAAAGACATTCAAAAGCACAAGTAAGTATTCTTTCCTTAAAGCTTTAGATTTGAGAGTTCAGAAAACCTGACGAGCATTTTCCCGGGCTGTTTTTTTTCAGTTAGTGGTTTTATAACCGATGCAATTAACCTGTGGGATCATCCAGGGAGCCATGGAGACTAGTTAGCCTTTTTTATTAAAGGCCTTTCTGGGTGTGTCTCTGGGACTTTCTTTAGCTACAGCTGACCCTGTGGCATTCTAAACAACGGATGCACCAAATTCAGTTTCTCCCAACTCAGACTAACTGGCGTTTTTCTTCTCTGGCACAAAGAGGAAATAGGTATTTTTCATTCTGGGATTCTATTCTCTACCATATTAAAAAACAAAAATCCTCCGCCATATCGTGCCTCATTTCCTAGACCAAAACTAAAACATATTTTTCCAACCATTCTCTGATTAGATGATATGACAGGGAGAAAAAATTACAGAGTGTAGTCTTTTTAAAAAAATAGTAGCAGTATCTTAAATATCAGACCTTACCCATGTTGACCGGATAGTCTAAAGCTAAGCTAAGACAAAGCTGGTTTTTCTCTGTTAGTCTGTTTCTCTAACGGTCACAGGAAATTCACATCCCTACCAGAGGAACTTATTTGCCGAAATACCTATGAATATGTAAAAGGTCTGCTAAGAATTTGGAGTAAGCGTTTACTAATGGTGAAATCTTTTAAACACAAAAACAAAACAAAAACCAACCAACCAACAAAAAAACGCGTCTTGTTATTTGGTCCTCATTTTCACAGAAAAACTCTACACAGAATACCTTCATTCTATTAAAAAAGAGAAAAAAGAGAAGAACGGGATTTGTAGAGACCAATACAGTGATGTGAAAAGGTTAATTACCTAAGGCTGCCCACTGAATCCTTGACAAAGATGGAAAGATAATTTCCTGTCCTGACTTTTCATGCCCTGCTTCTACCTCCTTAAAATAAAATATCCTGTATGGCACAGGGCCAAGCATATTATGACATTTATTAAATTAAAATTATAGTGTAGGAACAAGGTCATCCAGACATTATGACTGAAATTACTAGAATAAAAAAGTTACTTTCTAATTGGTATTTAAAATTTTGACAATTTTTGAAAATATACATTCCACAAAACAAGCTAATGGAAAAAAGAAATCTGCAATTAAATAGAAAACATTTTTGTTACATTGAAAATCTTTGCCTAACCGCTTTCCATCAGTCGTCGACGTCATGTATGTTGCAATGAGAAAATTTTAGCTGAGGTGAAATGCCTTTAACTACCTGTTTTTTTTCCTTTCCTAGGTGGTTTGAGGGCTTTAATTGGGAAGGCTTAAGAAAAGGCACCTTGACGCCTCCGATAATACCAAGTGTAAGTAGGCTTTCCAGCTTGTAACTGTGTGACACACGTTCAGGAGCTTATGTCAGTCATCAAAGATCTGTTATTTTTAAAGCTTTATCCTGTGATCAGATTAAATCAACTATAGGAGAAGTATCAGATTAAAATAATGACATCTTCTAAAATCCGAGCTTAAAAACAGTGTTACATATATATAGATGTAGACAGAGGAATATAATAAATCTCCAGCAACCAGTTTCTTTTTTTCCCGTAACATAAAAACTTTATACATCATTGCCCAAGAATAAGAATATAGTAGCAATTTTGATTTAGTCATATTCTTAAATTACTACCAAAAATATGTATATTTTGAATTTCTGCACATACGTGTTCTCTCTATAGACGATACAATGAGTTCTTCGTTAGTGTGTACATGAGTAAGCTTGGGTGAATTAGGACCAATGTGCTATTGTTAACTTCTGTTTGTGATTCCAGTTTACCTTCTATCCTGCTCTGTCCCCAAGAGTTCAACCCATATAGTCTACATCAAAGCGTTCCCTTGCCCTTTGGTTTCTGGATGGCTTTGGTCAATAGTCCAGCAACCAGTTTCAACAGCTATCAATTCCTGGCCGATGTTGGTTCATTGATGCCCCATATTACTCCCCCTCCCTTGCCCTCATATTACTCTGAAGCTCTTCCAGGCACAACTGTGTTCCTGTATCCTTTCATCAGGCTCTAAAAGGAAAAGATTCTCTTTTCTTAACCCTCTTCTTAACACATTAGATTTTTTGTTAAATAGCCAGTGGACTAAATGTTTATACTACATTAACTTCTAATACATTTCAATTGATTGCTTTTATATTTTTATTTAATACTGCATCTATCTAATAAAATGTGCTGCATCTTAACTAAGACAGAGAGGGCTGCTTTGTGGGCCCAAGCCTTTCAATTGTATACTTCTCTTTTCTGAGAACTCAAAATTGCTCAAGACTGCTCTTTAAACAGAAACATTTTCCCTGCTTCTAAGATTGATTTCTGTGTTAATGTTTATTCACAAACAAAACAAAAACGTCATTACCATGTCTCACATTACAGATGCAAATTGCCTTCATGAAGGTTTGCTTTTAGAACAAGAGTAGAATAAGAAACTTGGAGGTGTAAATATTACGCCTAAATTATCCTAACCTAAATTTATCAGGGGCCTCCTTTTATACAGTAGTAATATTAAATGGGGGAGATGTATATATATATATATATATATATATATATATATACATACATATATATATGTAGAAGTGTGTGTAAGCAAGTGGTTCTAAGTATTATAGAATATGAGGGAAACTGAAGTGTGTTTCTTCACTATTTTTACTAATATTGTACAGATTGGACTTTGCCCAATAAATTTACAAGAGTTTTGCTTGAGTTTTGAAATGAATTTTTACTATATTGAGAATAAACTCACAAAATCCTTAAGATGGCCTACAAGGCTCTGTGTAACCTGACTCCTTCCTGCCCGTTTCTCCTTCCACTCTCCTCCTTTCTTACAGAGCAGCCACATTGGCCTCTTTTGGTTACTTCACAGCATGGACCTCTCCTGCTCTCACCCCAGGACCTTTGCATGTGCTATATTCGCTTTCTTGATCTCTTTGATTCTTAGGTTTAAAATAATATTTTTTCTCAGGGGCTTTCTATGATCACTTTTATGCTCTCATGGCACCTTGTATTTTTTCTTCACAGCACTGACCAAACTTTATAATCATCTACAGATTTTTGTGATTATTTGTTTTAATCACACAATTTACTCCTTACTAGAGTATAAACTCCACGAGGGCAAGAACTGTGTCTATTTTTACTTACCACTATAAGCCCCAATACAAAGCACAAAACCTGCTACCTAGGAGACACACAAAAATACTCATCGACTAAGGAATGAATAAAAAATGCTTTTTAAAAATCTAGCTTGGAAGTCTACTAAAAATTCAGAACTTTTATTCTATTCATTCTGGCTTTTGTTTTTTAAAGGTATGCTTTTTGGTGAGCAAGTTTGGCCCTGAGCTGACATCTGTTGCCAATCTTCCTCTTTTTTTCCTTTTCCCCCCAAAGCCCCAGTACATAGTTGCATATCCTAGTTGTAAGTCATTCCAGCATTGTATTTCTTCTATGTGGGATACCTCCACAGCATGGCTTGATAAGTGGTACATATGTCCATACCCAGGATCCGAACCAGTGGACCCTGGGCATCGAAGTAGAGTGTGTGAACTTAACTGCTACACTAGTGGGCCAGGCCCCTGTTCATTCTCTCTTGTTTGCAGGTTGCATCACCCACAGACACAAGCAATTTCGACAGTTTCCCTGAGGACAATGACGAACCACCACCTGATGACAACTCAGGATGGGATATAGACTTCTAATGTATTTCTCTTACCTGCTTCTGCCTTGCTGAAGACAGCTTTTCCTGAGACTCAGCTGCCAGCAAACCTGAGGGAAAGAGAGAAGATTCGTGCTCGGGGTCACCATGATGCCTTTGATCGATGCTGCTCCAGTAACTACAGTGGCATTAGGACTTATTGCTTAGATGACAATAGTGCTCTTTACATGTTTTCTGTTTGAACCTAAAAATAGCAGTTGACATGGTGGTCCTGAAGCAAAGCCTTTCACCAGTAAAGAGATGTTTTCTATTGTTGCAATGATGTTGCTTTGCTCCGATTATAATTTGAAAGACTGTAAGAAATACTTCAATCTAGTAAAAGAGTCTGTACCTTGCTAGAATGATCAAGAAGATCAAAAAATAATATATTGGGTACGACAGATTACTATGGTACAAAAACTGGGCTCTTCCCTTTCTTCAAGTGAGGGTTGTAGGATCGATGACTGCAAGCCGGTGTATATACCGTAAAAAGAGGACCACACATCTGTTGGTCACAGAGTTCATGTCAAACCAGTGCTAGACGTTTCATGATTTTATTTCCCAGCAGTGCTGATGACGAGACTGAATGTTACCTTTCCTTTCTGACAGATTTTAAAAATTGATACGTTAAAAGCACAACTGCTATAGGGGTTCTGCTGCGAACTCTCATAGCAGGGACATATGCGTTTTCACAGAGGATTGAAAAAAATGACATGCATGATATTTGTTTGTTTCTTTTTGATAAATTGGCATGACAGAGTGGGAAAATAAGCAATTCACAAACCATTTCATATTTTTAAAAATATTGTGCTTAAAGATGGTCCTGGAAATAAATGACTAGCAGCCAATTGGTTTTTATTTATTAACTAACACGCCCTCAAACTGAGGCTTAAAATATTCCCTTTTATAAAAATAAACCCTTGGGGTGGGCGGTGGGGCGGGGTGGAGAGGGATTAAGATCCATCCAAAAAACAACAAACTCTATAGGTGCTATGTATATCTTTCATCTGTAAATGTCAGTGTCTGAACAGACAACACAAATTCTAACCATTACATGTGTAGCCAGAGACTGAAGCATTTTCACTAAATTTATCAAAGCAACTCCTGTCAGATTTCACTTACAACATCGTCTAGGGTTAAGGGAGAAAGGTGATTAAAAACCTATTTGAACTAGCTTCTTGTCTTAGGCCTGAACCAAAAATCAAAAACAAAAACAAAAAAAAAAAAGAAAAAATGAAAGCACAAAATCATTAGGATATTAAGATTCATCAGATGAGAAACCTTATTTATGTGAGGTCAGGAAACAAGACAAGAACCTGGCCAGGTGTTGATTGCTTTTTCGTGAATGATATGAGTCCACATGCATGTGAAAATAACAAGGGAGTAGAGAGGAAAACAGGATTCTGATTTCTTAAGAATAAACTTTTGCTAAGTAGAACAGAAATACTACAATCCTGAAACATCATGCTATCTAGCAAAGACTAGATTTGAAAATGTCAAACTGATTTGCTTTTTTCACGTGGCAAAAACGATCAGCAATTTAAACTGAGTTCTTTGTTGACAGGCCAGTTGACTATTATTAGCTGTCATAAGTAACAGAGCCATTTGATAGCTTTTCCTGGACAAATAGCATTATACCTACTTAGACAAATGCATAACCTTACGAGTTGTCATCCTGATTTGGAACTGTGTGAATTTGGTATATTAAATAGAGATTTGCTTTTTTCTAGTAAAGAGTCTTCTTAAAAGTCAAATGTAAACATTTCTGCAAAAAAATGTCCACCTAGAACATTATACTGTATCCAGGAAGGCACATATTATGATTTTTGTTTGAATGTTTCATACTATTTTAGAATATATCTTATTAAAATATAATAATCTAAGAAACATTGGGAGAACAAAATTACTAAGCACATAGTATATATAATTAGAATAAAGTTAAATTAAACCTTCGATCCTAAGATGTTTCAGTTATTCTTGTGTTATTGGAATTTTCCCTCCCTTACAAACAATTTCTCAAAATCAGTCTATTCCCCAAGATATCCAGTTTCTTCTGCAGATTTTAGAATATGAAATTAAACATTTCAACCTAAAATCCAGCTATGAATGCTATTCAGATGTTTTATATTGCTCTTAATTGGGATTTAAAAATATATAAATTCAACACTATAGTCAATGTTCAATGATTTTTGTTAAAAGATAGAATGGTGTAGGAATGCTAAAGATTTTCTAGAATATTAAATTTAACTAGTCATTAAGGCAGAGAATCTGCTCCTGCAACTTTGCAAATATCTCAATAACCTCAGAGATCAGCACTTACTGTGGATTTTGGAATTATGGTTCAAGTCTAAGACAACCACAGGTACAAGTTCTAAGGAGAATGAAGAAGTAGCATTCAGCACAATGTCACTGTAGGCTGTTTCTCCCACTTGTTACTGCATCTTTGTTTATTTCACCTGTGACATTACATTAGGATGTCTAAAGCAATCACCAAAAAATAAAGGTGAACTACATCTTCCAAGAATTACTAACAGAAAACATTCATCTAATTTTCAACATTGAATTTTAAGGATTTAAATCTTGTCTTAATGAAGACACTAGGGCTAAAATTCATGGTCAGCTTCATAAAGTGCATCTCACTTTATTTCTGAGTTTTTCATGCCCCCTCTATTTTTTTTACACTAAAGGACATCTGGGTAAGTTAGAATAGTGCCAACTTGTTTGATTTGTTAACTGACTTTCTTGTTAATATTTTGAGTATGGGAAATAAGGGCTTTCTGTGTGTCTCGACTCACAGGAAAACTGAAAACTGCCAAGAAAAGAAACATCATAATATTTGAGATAGATTAAATACATTAGAGAAAATGATTTCTGGAAAATTGCTATAGGTGATTTTTGAGTTTGTACCTTCTTTGTTGTTAATATATGAATCAGATCCATGTGACATTTCAAATAAACTTATTTTGATTATATTCTTTATAAGTCATAATTTTTTCTTAAAATTATGGGATATGCATGTGAATCACACATGTATAATATAAATTCAACTATTGAATTTTTCTTGTTTCATTTCTAAAGGACTGAACTGATGGTGAATTTAAATTTAAAGAAGTCAGCTACCATGTTGAAAATAAGGATATTAGAACTGATTTCATACAGTAGAGGTGATCTGTGCATTATCCATAACAACATTTTCTTTCACACTAGGACCACAAACAAATATTTATGTAAATAGATATTTTTGTGTGATATTTTGTGGTACTTATAACTTTTTTTAGTGTTTCACAGCATTATTATTTCATTTTATTTCTATTGAATAATGTTTTTAGGTCCAAGTAGACTTGAATTAATGTCATAATTGTCAGTATTATTGAAATTATGTCAACTGTACTGTTTTTCATCTGTCCCATAGTTTAGAACATGACCCGGCTATCTGGCATTGTTGCAAGTGCCTTAAATTCATGGCATCCTATTAAAAAACAAATTTGGTGTTATGCTGCATGACAAAGACAAACACACCTCAAAATGTTGTCCTTTCTTAGCTTGCTGCGTTTTACAGTTCTTTCTGCTAACAATTTATAAGCCTTTATTATATAATATTGATGAATTACAGAAATGATGAAGTTGTTCTCTTATTTCTGTTAAATGTACCAGAGCTGTGTATCTGTTAATGAGATACAGCGTCATTTCTGTGAAATGTATAAATGTACGTGCAGGTCAAATTAATATATGACATACTATCAGTCTGTATACAGGTATTCCTGTTTTGCTAAGCTGTGCAGATTCAGTTTAAATATTAGTGCAGTCAAGTTCTAACATATCTCATTTTATTGACTCCATTAACAATGGTCCAACTGAAAAGAAAAATTAGAAAGTGACTGCTAACTACACCTTGTTATGAAACCAATGATGAAAAAGAATCTTGGTGCAGCACTCAACAAAACAGGATGCTTTCTCTGAGTTCTTGTATATGCAAATCGTGGATGAGGCAAATTTTCAACAGACCTAGAAAGCTAAACATTGAAAGTGTGTTGTTAGTCCTCTTCTCTATCTGCCCCTGCGTCAACAGAGCTCTGGGACCTTGACGATGACTCAGAGGTTTGGGCTTTCTGAGTAAAGGGACATTTCTTTAAGCATCATCTATCAAATTTATTTCAATGTATGATGTTTTTACAATTGGTCAGTTCTTTTGTATTCTTACAGCTATGGTTATTTGATTGTCCTCTTACAATTTGTTCTACATGAAAGAGTCCTTTGTTAGTCAGAATGCAACAACTGTCATCAAATGGTCATTGACCACTTGCACTCTTTTGATGTAGATTAAAAACTTTTTCATAAACTTAACCTGCTTTGATTTGCTCTGTATTTTTCCTGCAGCTGTAATTGCCGAGTGCCTGTTGTATACTTTATAGAGTTGAAATAAAAAATAATTACTTTTGAACTTAGTTGATGTTTAATTCCAAGCAACATTCCAAGAATAGAATTCATAGATCATACTGGAATTGAAATACTGTGTAGTGCAATTGTGGAATATCACTATAACAATGTAGAAAATACTTGTAACCCGTGTCCTTCATAAAATAATGTATTATGATCTGCTATAAAACTAATCCAACAAATCAATTTAAAGAATTCAATAGGGATAATGTTAGGCCATCCAGTGTGAATGGTTAAGCAAATGTAGACACCCACACAAATCCCCAAATTGGCAGTTTTCTGTGCACCATTACCACCACCACCACTACCACTACCACCATCACACACTCCTTCTTTGGGCTACCCCTAGTCAAACTCTGGATTAGTCTAAGGTTTATTCACCTGATCCCTCTGTGAAGCTTCATATACACAAAGAATATAGATTTAGAAAACAATGTGGTTGCAACAAACTCAACTTTCCAAAACTCTGTTGAACACATTCTTCCTGTGTCCCTTTGCTCCTCACTGCCGTGAATGGTACACAAATTAAAACTGGCTGCAACATCAAGATTCCCTTAATCTGATTGCCTTTGTCTCGTTGACATCATATGGCTAGTGATGGTGAATTGAAACCCCTTTTTAACAAAAACTAGAAATTCAATCCAGTTAACTTTCTCAGATAGAGCCAACAAAACAACTTGAAGAAATACTAGGTCACTATAGCACATCCAGTAATTTCATTTCGCCTGCAAATAGAACTGAACTGTAACTTTTTAGTATACACCCTTTAAGTTCTGTGATTTTCATACCGTTGATCTAAGAATGGTCTTCTTTGAACCTGGAAGGTAATTTTTTTGTATTAATCACACAGTTTTTGGAGGAGCGTGCAGATCAATACTCATGGTCATTAGAGGCGTGGCTTGGGTGTGGGGGAGTGGAGTCAGTGATGGTGAGGATGTTGCATCCACACCACTGTCATGTCTTCTTCATGTTAATTGCAACTGAGGTAAATCACTGCACAATTGTTTAACTATGACAATAAGATCAATTATAAATTTGTCTGAGATGCATGTATTGGTAGTGTCATCATCCAACTTGATCACATGTTATGCTTGTAGACCCACCCGCAGATTCTCAATTATAACCCTAAATGTGCCATGCACACAAGAGAAGACAGCTACCACACTAATATTCTTTCCTAAAAGTCCTATTTAGAATTTTCCTCTGTATTCTATACTTCTCCTTATCAATTCAAAAGGACTATAAGTTGATAAAACAGTAATGTCTACCTCTGGCAGCTGTGTTTTTCACCCAAGCTGAGTCTGCAAAGCAAAGACAAATCCATCCACATGCCCATTAGCAAAGCCAGACAGGTTAAGTCTCAACATCATGCGAAAAAAATAAAATAGAAAAAACAAGGTATCCCTAGAAATCCCAAAATCTGGCCATGGATTTCATAAAAATTAATGGACAGGCTCAAGGCATATGTTTAGGCCAGTGTTTCTCAAACATCAATGTCATATAATGTATGTGGGAAATATGGTGAAAACACAGATTTGCAGCATCACCCACAGGTATTTTAAGGGATAGCCCAGCAATCTGAATTTTTAACAAGAGCCTTAGTTTATTTTGATGGAAACATTTATATACACCTATGGAAGAGAAGTAGGGAAAGAAGGCCCATGGGAGGGAATTTCAGGAATGGTAGGGTGAAAGAAGTATGAAAAGAAGTCTATAAAGAGTCATGGACATCCAAAGCCTATTAAATACCTCCAAAAACGTTAAATGATATTTATAGTCCAGCTATATAGATGTCCTTTCCATTTTCCATATTAAAATAGTATATTACTAATAATAAGCTAGTTTTGCTGAGGATTACATTCATATTTTGATTTACAAAGCCGAAAAAGATGTATTTATACCCTCTTCTGGCATCTGGTCTATCAAGGGAGGATACTAGGAGTTTAATTCACATGAAGGCAGCTCTTAGTCCTCTAGGGAGAAATGATAATAGAGACTTGAGCTTCTGGCTCAGTGGGGTTTTGACTGCCCTTCACCAATGTCCTTTTCCTCTCCCTGAGGTTTAGCCTTTTCACTTGCTTTGGCCATTGAAAGGTGAGCCTGTCACTTCAAGCAAGAATGTTAAGAGCCAATTCTTGCTTCAATACATCCTTCTTTCCCTCCACTACTGAAATGGGCAATTCCTCCTCAGTGGCCACCCCGTCAGCTTCAGAAGCAGAAGGAGGACTGCAGTGAGGAGGAGGAGTAGAGCCCCTAGCCAACCCATAGGTTTGGGAGCGGAGCATACTGTTGTTTGGAACCACTAAGATTTGGCTTCACCTATTTCAGCAGCATACCCTTGACCATTCTGATTGATACAACTAACACACACAGAGGACAGCCAAGCGCGGCCCTAGCTCTGAGTGGGAATCTGGCAATGTCAGTCACCCAGTCTCAGGCAGAAGATAACAGAAAATGTCTTTGGACCCTGAATGAGGGGCAGTAAAACTGCAGTAAAGACTTGATGAGTTCACTCAAATGCCTAGTCCTTTAACAGAAACTACCTTAAACTCAACACAGCAAAGGTATGTTTTAACAGGGTAATGGGAAGAAACATGCTCAGAACCCAGACCATCTAAAACTGGTACAGTGAGTTACTTGGGCTGCTTGGGTGGAGACTTGCAAATGTACAAGCACAAGGGTTAGTGGCATGAGAAGCAAAGAGCCCCAGGAAAAATTATGTTAGTCATGGAACTGGGGCAGTTACAATTCCTAGGGAGAGCTTGATTCTTCAAGATTCTCAGAAACAGATGAGAGGCTGAGTTTTAATAACAAAAACAGGTTGAAATAGGAACAAAATATCATCTTACCTATAATTATAATGTCATATGTGTAATTCTTTGCTTGGTTACAGGTTCCACAAATTGCTTTGTTAGCATGAATTATTAGGGCCTTGGTTTCCCTACCCATGAGAGGATTATTGAAGTTCTTTTTGGTAATAAAATTCTGTGACTCTAAGTTACTTCACTTTTCTGAACCTCCCTTTCCTTATTTTTCAAAATCAGGGGTTGGCAAACTACAGCCCATGGGCTAAATGTGGCCCCAAGCCTGTTTTTGTAAATAAAGTTTTATTGGAATAAAACCAACCCATGTTGTCTACAGCTGCTTTCATGCTACAGCAGCACCTGAGTTGAATAGTGAGAAAGAGGTCATACGGCAGTTAAAGCCTAAAATATTTAGTATCTAGCTCTTCCCAGAAAAGTCAGCCAACCCCTGTTCAAAAGGAAGGGTTTACTATGGACTGATGATTTTCAAGTTATTTTCCATAGAGCCTCAGAAGTTGGTAGTGATGTCTCAGAGTCCACCAGGATGGAATGGAGAGAGAAATACATATTTTTTAAAAATTTTTTTTATTGCAGTAACATTGGATTATAACATTATATAACTTTCAGGTGTACATCGTAATATATTTCGAACTCTGTGTAGATTACATCATGTTCACCACCCAAAGACTAATTACAATCCATCACCACACACTTGTGCCTAATCACCCCTTTCGCACTCCTCCCTCCTTGTTCCCCTCTGGTAGCGACTAATCTAATCTCTGTTGCCATGTGTTAGTTTGTTGTTTTTATCTCCTACTTGTGAGTGAGATCATACAGTATTTGACTTTCTCCCTCTGACATTTTTCACATGGCATAATACCCTCTCCATCCATGTTATCACAAATGGCCGGATTTCGTCATTTCTTATAGCTGAGTAGTATTCCATTCTGTATATATACCACATCTTCTTCATCCATTCGTCCCTTGATGGGCACCTAGGTTGCTTCCAACTCTTGGCTATTGTGAATAATGCTGTGATGAACATAGGGGTGCATGTATCTTTATTCATTTGTCTTTTCAAGTTCTTGGGATAAATACCCAGCAGTGGAACAGCTGGATCATACGGTAGATGTATTCTTAATTTTCTGAGGAAACTCCATACTGCTTTCTATACTGGCTGCACCAGTTTGCACTCCTACCAGCAGTGTAAGGGGGTTTCCTTCTCTCTACATCCACTCCAACACTCGTTGTTTCCTGTCTTGTTAATTATAGCCATTCTGACCGGAGTGAGGAGATATCTCATTTTAGTTTTTATTTGCATTTCCCTGATAGTTAATGATGTTGAACATCTTTTCATGTGCCTGTTGGCCATCCATATATCTTCTTTGGAGAAATCTCTGTTCAGATCTTTTGCCCATGTTTTAATTGGGTTGCTGGGTTTTTTTGTAGAGATGAATGAGTTCTTTGTATATTTTGGATATTAACCCCTTATCTGATATATGGTTTGAAAATATTTTCTCCCAATTGTTAGGTTGTCTTTTCATTTTGTTGATGGTTTCCTTTGCTGTGTAGAAGCCTTTTAGTTTGATGTAATCCCATTTGTTAATTTTTTTCTATTGTTTCCCTTGCCCGGTCAGACATGGTATTTGAAAAAATGCTGCTAAGACCCATGTCAAAGAGCATGCTGCCTATGTTTTCTTCCAGAAGTTTCATGGTTTCAGGTCTCACATTCAAGTTTTTAATCCATTTTGAGTTGATTTTTGTGCATGGTGTAAGATAATGGTCTATTTTCATTCTTTTGCATGTGGCTGTCCAGTTTTCCCAACATCATTTATTGAAGAGACTTTCTCCATTGTATGTTCTTGGCTCCCTCATCAAAAATTAGCTGTCCATATATGTGTGAGTTTATTTCTGGGTTCTCAATTCTATTTCATTGATCTGTGTGTCTGTTTTTGTGCCAGTACCATGCTGTTTTGCTTATGATAGCTTTGTAGTATATTTTGAAATCAGGGAGTGTGATATCTCCTGCTTTGTTATTTTTCGTCTGGATTGCTTCAGCTATTCAGGCTCTTTTCTTGTTCCACATAAATTTTAGGATTCTTTGCTCTATTTCTGTGAAAAATGTTGTTGGAACTTTGATAGGGATTGCGTTGAATCTATAGATTGCTTTAGGAAGTATGGACATTTTAACTACATTAAT